CTGACACGTGCACTGCACAACACGGGTGCACTTACACACATGCAGGCATAACACTCATAAAATAATAAAAAAAGATAAAAAATAATAAAACTACTTAAAATTTGAGCTGAGCATGGTATACACGCCTTTAATCGTAGCACTTGGGAGGCAGAGGCAGGAGGATCTCTGTGAGATCAAGGCCAGCCTGGTCTCCATATAGAGTTCCAGGCCAGCTCTGGCTACAGGGAGATCCTGTCTCAAAAAGATCCAAAAAAATTATTTTTTAATTTGAGAGTGGAGAGCAAAGCACTCCACTTTGATTCTGGGTACTTTGATTCCAGCACCCAGGGGATAGAGGCAGGCGGACCTCTTTCAGTTTGAAGCTGCCCTGGGCTCCATAGTGAGTCACAGGCCAGGTGGGGCTACAGGGAGACCCTGTCTCAGAAAAACAACAAGAGGGGCTGGAGAGATGGCTCAGTGGTTAAGAACACTGACTGCTCTTGCAGAGCCTGGGTTCGAATCCCAGCACTCACATGGCTACTAACTACCATCCATAACTCCAATTCCAGGGTATCCAACGCCCCTCTGTCCTTCATGGGAATTGCACAACACAGATGCACCTACCTACATGCAGGCAATATACTCATACACATAAAAACTCTTACAGGGGCGTTGGAGAGATGGCTCAGCAGTTAAGAACACTGGTTGTTCTTGCAGAAGACCCAGGTTTGAATCCCAGCACCCACATGGCAGCTAACAACTGTCTGTAACTCCAGTCCCAAGGGATGCGACAGCCTCTTCTGACCTCTGCGGGCCTTGCATGACATGGGTGCCCTTACCTACACACAGGGCATACATGAATACACATAAAAATAATAAAATTGAAAAAAAACAATACAATTTTAAAAATTTTTAAAAAGGTTTTTTGAAAGGGGATGGAGAGATGGCTCAGTGGTTAAGAGTACTGACTGGTCTTGCAGAGGACCCAGGTTCAGTTCCCAACACCCACATCATGGCTAACAACCATCAAAACTCCAGTTCCAGGGGATCCAGTGCCTTCTTGTGACCCCCACAGGCACTGCACACATGTACACTTACATGCATGTAAGCAAAACACTCCTACACCTAAAATTAAATTAAAAAGTAAATAATTTTTTTATAAAAGAGTGTTTGCTGCTCTTCCGGAGGCCCCAAGTTCCCAGCATCCATGTTCAGCAGCTCACATCCATTTGTAACTCCAGCCCCAGGGTATCTGCTGCTGCCCTCTTCTGACCTTTGTGAGTACTTCAAACACGTGGCGTACACACACACATACACATAACATAAATTTTTTAAATAAATAAACTTTAAAGGAGGAGCAATAGGGCAGGAGAACTGTAAATCTCAGTACATCTCTCATCACCCAAAGGAGGGTGATGGAGAGGAGGAAGAGAGAAAACTGCCCTCTGAAGGGATTAAGGGGCTTCAGAGAGAGAGAGAGAGAGAGAGAGAGAGAGAGAGAGAGAGAGAACAGTGTCAGGAACACAGCTTTGGGGAGACAAAAGGAAAGGTTACAAGACAAGCTTGGCAATGCCTTCAGCTTCAAGCAGTAGCACTGAGGGAGGGGCTTCTGGCCAGATTAAGCACATTTTCTCATTAAAGGGATAATTATTCCTCCCTCCTCTCCCTTTGCACATCTTCAAGTGAACCAGTTTTCCTGGAGAGTGGACTCCTGGCCAGGTGATTGACAGGCCCAGCTGAATCAACTCTTAACAGAAGATACATGTGGTATTCAAGTAGCTTAGAATGTCAAGTTTCCACCCAGGGCCAGAGGAAGAACAGATTTTAATTCTTTTCACCGGGAAGAAGTGGTTTTTCCCTTCCTGAGTGGGGCTCACCACCTTTTCGTATGGTCATGTAAGTCCCTTCCTCCCTGTTATGTGTATGAATGTTTTGCTGCATGTGTTAAGTGCATCAGTGTCATGTTGTGCCCTCAGGCCAGAAGAGGGTGTCAAATCCCCTGGAATTGGAGTTATGGATGGTTGTTAGCTGCCATGTGGGGCTGAGAAACGAGGTCCTTTGCAGGAACAGCCAGTGCTCTTAACTGCTGAGCCAGCTCTCCAGTTCCTTTTTTTTTTAAATCACAGGGGGATGTCTGTGCACTTGTGTTCACAATACATGTTTGGATCTCAGAGGACAACTCACAGGAGTCCATTCTCTTCTTCCACCGTGTGAACCTCAGAGATCAAACTCAGGTCATACAAGGCTTAGTGACAAGTGCCTTTGCCCGTACCTATCTCACCAACCCTCTATTTTAATTTTATTTGTATTTTATGTATATGTGTATCTGTCTCTCTCTCTCTCTCTCTCTCTGTGTGTGTGTGTGTGTGTGTGTGTGTATGTGTATGCACATGTGTACGAATACACTCCAAGGTCAGAAGGCATCAGATCCCCTGGAGCTGGAATTAGAGGCAGCTGTGAGCAGCTGAGGTCTCTCTAGCCCTTGGTGTTTTGTTTGATTGTTTTTTCTTTTGAGACAGGGTCTGGTGGTATAGGCCAAGCTGGCCTTGAACTGCTACTCCTCCTACCTCAGCCTCCCCTGTACTGGGATTATTGATTATAGGTATGACCCCACACCTCACCACTGAGGTTTATTAAAATTCCTGGAGTTGACCATTCCTAAATGGTGGTTAGACTATTTCTTCTCTAGATGGTAATGAATGTAGAATTTGTCCCAACCTTTGGGCCAGACCATAGTTCAGAGGAATGGCCATCAGCCAGATCACGAAGCCAGGTAGAAGCTACTGTTAGGTTTGTTGCATATTGCTGTGTTTAAATCATGTTGCCTGGGCAGGGCTTGGTGTAGGAATGTCAGGAAATGCCTGCCCTGGACTGTAAATGGGTGTTTGTGTATGAATGACATCTCACTCTTCATCACTATAAAAGCCACAGTTAGACATTTATTAACATGAGGTCACTTAGAAGTGGGATCACTGAAAGAATGTTGTCCCCAGCATGGTGGGCTGTTGAAAATAGTGAATGTTTTGAGAACTGGGGTTCAGTTCATAGAGTGCTTGCTTGGCATGCACAAAGCCCTGGCCTCCATCCCCAGCACTAAGTAAACCTAGCATAGTGACACACACCTGTGATCCCAGCACTCTGGAGGTAGAGGCAGGAGGAGCAGAAGTTTGAAGTTATCCTCCACTGCATATGCATATCAAGTTCCAGGACAGCTTGGGCTACAAGAGCCCTGTCT